CTTTCTTTGGCACTTTGGCTAAAAGAAAAAGATTCAAACATTTTGATTATGACATAGATTGAAAACAAATATCCCTTTAATGCCCATATGTTCCAGAGTAGTGCAGAAGACAAAATAAGAGCGTGCTTACCCTTTTCTCTTGGCTTTTCTTTCTTGTGTCGTTCTAGAAAGTAAGAGGAAAACCAGAACATGATGTCAACATTTGGGTGTTCATACTAAAGGGAAAAGTTCTTCCTCTGGCACAAAGACATTGGTTTGTTCCTTCTCCTGCTATGGTCAGGGGTCGCAGCAATGCTCTATGTCAAATTCAAGGTTAAAGGAAGTGGCAGCAGAGAGAAGAGGAACAGGATGGGGGAAAGGAGTCGCCATTATAATGTACTCTATTAGTCATCATTATTTGAATTTTTGGGGGGTCAGTCTCTTATTTCAAGGCAACTCATCATGATAGGTTTGTGTTAATTGATGGGAAGTGTAAATTGCTAGATTTGTTTTGATCCAGATCTTACCAGATACTTTTACATGGATATCCTTCATCGGTAACTTGGCTAAAATGAAAAGTTATAAGTACTGAGTTTTAATAAATGTTGCCCAGCTGTAATATATTAATATTTCACATAAGCAAAAGTGTGGCACTAATTCATGTTTACCTGTTTCTAATGGTTTTTCTTTCTTGTGTGGTTCTAGACAATCAGAGAAAGAGCAAAACATTATTTCTCTCATCTTAATTGAATTGTATTACTTCATAACAAGGTTTCAAATGGAAAAGGTGCAAATTTCTAGATTGATTTTTTCATGGCACTTACCAGTTTTCTTTACATGCACATCTTTCTTTGGCACTTTGGCTAAAAGAAAAAGATTCAAACATTTTGATTATGACATAGATTGAAAACAAATATCCCTTTAATGCCCATATGTTCCAGAGTAGTGCAGAAGACAAAATAAGAGCGTGCTTACCCTTTTCTCTTGGCTTTTCTTTCTTGTGTCGTTCTAGAAAGTAAGAGGAAAACCAGAACATGATNAGAGTAGTGCAGAAGACAAAATAAGAGTGTGCTTACCCATTTCTCTTGGCTTTTCTTTCTTGTGTCGTTCTAGAAAGTAAGAGAAAAACCAGAACATGATGTCAACATTTGAGTGTTCCTATTAAAGGGAAAAATTCTTCCCCTGGCACAAAGACAAGCAATAAGCAAATAATAATAATAACAATAATAATAATAATAACAACAACAACAACAACTTTGTGTTAACTGATGGGAATTGTAAATTACTAGATCTGTTTTGATTCAGATCTTATCAGATTCTTTTACATGGATATCCTTCATCAGTAGCCTGGCTAAAATGAAAAATTAAAAGTACTGAGTTTTAATAAATGTGGCACAGCTATAATATATTAATATATTTCACATAAGCAAAGGTTTACCTGTTTCTAATGGCTTTTCTTTCTTGTGAGATTCTAGGCAATAAGAGAAAGAAAAGAATATTATTTCTTTCATCTTCATAGTTATGTTAATTTATAGCAATTCTTCAAACAGAAAGGTGCAATTTTCTAGATTTATTTTTATGTGGCACTTACTAGTTTTGTTTACATGCACAGCTTTCTCTGGTACTTTGGCTGAAAGAAAAAGATTCAAACATTTTGATTAAGGCATAGATTGAACACAAATGGTCAGTATCCCTTTAATGCCCATATGTTCTAGAGTAGTGCAGAAGACAAAATAAGAGTGTGCTTACCCATTTCTCTTGGCTTTTCTTTCTTGTGTTGTTCTAGAAAGTAAGAGAAAAACCAGAACATGATGTCAACATTTGAGTGTTCCTATCCTACAAGCTAGACTCCAGCAGTATGTGGATCGAGAACTACCAGAAGTATAGGCAGGATTTAGAAGAGGCAGAGGAACTAGAGATCAAATTGCCAACATATGCTGGACCATGGAGAAAGCTAGGGAGTTCCAGAAAAACATTTACTTCTGCTTCATTGACTATACTAAAGCCTTTGATTGTGTGGATCACAACAAATTGTGGCAAGTTCTTAAAGAGATGGGAGTACCAGACCATCTTATTTGTCTCCTGAGAAACCTATATGCGGGTCAAGAAGCAACAGTGAGAACTGGACATGGAACCACTGATTGTTTCAAAATTGGGAAACGAGTCCGGCAAGGCTGTATACTGTCGCCCTGCCTATTTAACTTATATGCAGAGCACTTCATGAGAAAAGCAGGGCTAGATGCAGGGCTTTTTTTCAGCCGGAACGCGGCGGAACCGCGTTCCGGCACCTTTTTCCGGGCCGGCCGCACCGGAAATAGCCCCTCCCACACCGGAAATAGCCCCTCCCAAATTTTACTTGCATTCCTGTTCTCTAAAGGGGCGGTCCTAGGGTTTGATGAGGGCGTGGCCAGGTTTGAGTTCCGCCACCTTTTC